AGCCTGACACGCTGCCTCAGCCCAGGAACTTTTTCTGCCTTTAAAAAATCATGTAAAATGTTTAATTGGGCCTTCCCTTCCAGGCCACTGGAAGCAGCAGTGTGGGGAGCTGTTGGCCTGAGAGCTGATTGTGGAAGGGCCAGGATGAAGGAGCTTTGCTTTGCATTCCTGTTCCCAACACAGCCTCTGCAGAGCACAGGTGGGTGCAGAACCTGGCAAGGGGAAAGGCCCATGGGACAAGAGCTGCCTCCATAAAAATTCCTGCTGCTCCCGGCTGGGGGCACAAGAGGTTTCCCTTTATGCTTTGTTTAGGGTGTAAGGAATAATCCAGATTCAAATCAACAGGGATGGTGGCAGGGTGTTCTGAAGGATTTGTCTCTTCATGTCTGAAATTTCCCAACCCTCCAGCTGCAAGTGGGGGGAACCCAAAACCAAACTCCTGCTGAAGGGAAAATTTTAATTTAGAACATGCATTTACACCCCAGCCTTCATATCCTGCAAATCTGCATTTGGAGTCTCACAGCCCTTTTATTCACAATTTTTCTGTCTTTCTCAGAAAAACCACCAAGCTCCTCCCCAGCCAGGCAAGCAGAATGGGGAAGACAGCACATCCCACCCAGGTGAATGCTGAGCATAAACGGTGCTGTGCAGTCGCAGACAGCACTAATGACTGCCCTCAGGAAATGCCAGAGCAGGGGTGAGCACACACCACCTACAAACTGCAGGTAAATTACTCCCAACAGCTCACTGGGCTTCTCTTCCCTCCCCTGGTGTGGGTGCAGCTCCCAAAACCCCTGTGCTGGCTGACTGCACCTGTCTTGGAGCTACAATTGCTTGGAGCTGCTTTTTGTAGGTCCTGGAGCATTTTTCTAAGTGCTGGTTGAACATCTGCCCCTCCAAGGGATAAAATGTGCTCCCTGTAGGACAGCACACAGAGCATTTCTGCCTGCCTTGAATTCTGTTTGCCATGACCACCTGCCCAGTTGCTTCCTGGTGGTGGCTGAACACTCCAAAAGCTACATCTCTGTAAGGAGATGTCCAAGAGACTGCAAAAATTGTTCTCCTAAACAGGATTCTAGGAAGATTTTCTTCCAGTGCTCCCTTTTACTCAGAGTAACTTCAGTTTGGTTGTTGTTTTGGGCAGAGTGTGAATTATTTTTTTTTCTCGTTTTCAACTTGGAGAGAGGAATTTTGTCCCACACAGCAGCCCCCCAGTCAGGCTCAGCACCTTGCCATTGGAGGTGGGTGTCACGTAGCCCTTTTGTGAATTTACTGAGCTGCCAGCAATGCCAGTCAGCAAGTTCAGCTAAAGGCCTTCCACGGTGCTCTCTGCATCCAGCCCCGAGATCTGAAGGCACAAATGGGACCAGAAAATCCTGTGCATGTCAAGTTCTTTTTGCCCTTTCCTGCCAGACACTTCAGTTTACTTTAATTTGAACTTTTTGGGGTGGTCTTGTGGTGGGAAGTTTGATGACAGCCCCGAGGTGCACAAGAGACAGGGAAGGAGAGCAGCAAAATTCCAGAAACATTGTCACCACGTAGGGATCTTGATAAATAAACCTCCTTTTTTGTTGTTGTTTTTTGTTTTTAAATCATTACAGGTGAGATGGAGAAGCTGCACAGACAAATCACTGGAAACCCAAAGAATTAATCAGAAGGTGAGGTTACACCACACTGTCACTGTAAGGAGCACCCAAGCCCTGATTACAGCCTGCCATCAAGAGAACCACAGAATCTGGACAAAAAAAAAATATTACAAGAGGCTTAGCATTTAATGCTCTAAAGCACTAAATCCACAGCAAATCCTCCTGAATCTAAATATGCCTAAGACATATTTTAACTTATTTTTTAAAGTTTTCACAAATGCCATCTTATGCTACCAAAAAACTAAGCTCCACTGTTACTTTTGCTTTCTCAGTAGTCTGCAAATCAGGTTACAATCCTGTGCCTCGAGTGCCCTTTTGGCACTCCCCAAACCTCTTCCCACTAAACAGTAAGCAAGTAAAAAGTAAGCACTTATTTGGATTTATCTCCCCTTTTAAACCCAAGTAAACCAAAAGTATCCAGCAGATTAGAGCTGATAAAAGCAGAATTTTTGGGGGTGACTCAAGAAAGTTTGCCTGGAAATTATGCAAGTTACTGATGGCTAATTTTACCACCTAAAACCTTGGGGAGGGTTTTAATAAGAAGAAATACATCCCTCCATTTGTGCACACTGGCTCAAACAAAAAGGCCAGTGGCTGCTGTGATCTACCTAACTCTAAGTTTTAATTCTTAGTGGTTTAGATTTAAATTAAGTAGAGGCTTACCCAGTGTGGAAATTAATTAATTTTTCTCCACTGGTGCTTTTTCATTCTCCTAATAGAGTCCACACACATACCTTGGGATCACTTTCTGGCTTTTGTTCTCCCAGGACTGGTGTGAAAGCTAAACTTGGTCAAAACCACGACTGTTAATGGGAAACAACAAAATGCTCCCACGGAATGGAAGTTTTATCCCATGGAAAGAGAACAGCCAACAAGAGAATTCCCACTGCAAATGTGATGGGGCTCCTACAGGTTCTGGATGGGAAGAGGATGGTAAATACACCTGGAGTAGCCTTCCATTTCTCTTTCCTTTCCTTCCCAGGCAGGCAGATCCATGCTGGAGCAGCTCCATCCCTGGAAGGAGCACTGCCCCCAGGGCTGGGGAGAAGCACTCTGGAGGCAAGGCAAACAAGCTCTATCAGTGAGAGTGCACTTGTGCAGATAACTGTGCTCCTCCTGCAGCTGGGCTGCTGCTGGCACTGCTCTGGCACTCACGGGTCACGCTCTGGCACGGCACACACAGAGCTGTGCCAGCAGGAGCTCGTCCTGCTGGGTGGGAAACTCCACAGCCACTGCAAAGGTCTGCCTTCTCCATGCTGCAGCCAGGGTGAGTCTGTCCAGCAGGCTGCTGGTGGGGAGTCTCAGCCCTGACACGTTAGGGACTGGCCCTCCAAGGGTGCCACAAAACTAAACTTTGCACAGGAACACCTATGGGCTGCTTACACTGAGTTTTGTCCTTCAGTTAAATGCACAAATGAAAGGAGAAAGAGCCCCTGTAGGAAGAGATAAAAGGGAATAAATTAAATTGCGCTGTACTTCAGCACTCAGAGCAGCCCCCGCTTTTAATAGTAAAAGGGAACAAAACTGAAAGTGTTTAGCAGGGTTTGTTTAGCAGACAGCAGAGCACTGCAGAATTTCCACTGCTCTGTGAAACTCTACAGGCACACTGCAACGGAGCTTTTGGAGTCACCTCCAGTCTCCTCGGGAGGAGATCTGGTGTCTGGGCTGGAGCTCCAACACAAGTTGTGTTAGGGTGAGCCGACACCATGCTGCAGGCTGGATCACTGTTCCAGAGCACGGAGCAGTGAGGTGCCAGCAGTGCACGCTGTCCACCTGCTCCAGAGCCAAATTCTGCAGCCAGGCTGGAAACACCTCCCTCGGTGGGCAGGGAGCAGGGCTCCGTCCAGGACAGGCTGTGGGACAAAGCAAAACTCAGCGTCCTGCCAGCCTGGATCTGCTGGGAGGCACCACAGCTGTGTCCAGGGATGCTGCCCTCTGGGACAGGGATGTGTGGCAGGACCATTTCCTTGTTTTTCACAGAAATGACATCCCTGGCAGGCCGTGCTCGGCCTTCACCAGAGCTCTGTGGCCCTCCAAACCGGGATACAGGATGATACAATGATTCTAGGAATTCCCTGGGTTGAGAGGAATAATGTGCTATTTTTTTTTTCTTTTTAAAAATAAGCACGTTGCCATCATTTTCATTATCAGCCACGTCTACACACCATGAACAACTCCTGGGTGGGTGTTTGCCCTTCTGGGTTAGCTCTGAGTTTTGTGGGGGAGCATCACATTTTAATTGTAAAAAATTCCCTGCTTAACCAAGGCCGTGTAAAATCCTTATCAGCACGGTAACTCAGGAGAAGTTGTACCACCCCAAAATAAATACTCAGCCTATTCAAAGTTTCCAAAAGGGCCCGATAAAAGCCATTGGTCTAAAGATTTCCAGAAGGTCAGAAAAAAATGTGGCGTGGCTGGGAGCAACAGAGCCCTCCACCACCACACTGAACAGGAGCACTGCAGCTTAACAAGCGAGCCCCAGACTGGAACCAAACTCAGTGCTCAAGTGCGTGCTTTCATTTGCGAGCAGCACGCCTGGGCTGGCAGCCCAGGTTTTATTGCACTCCTGTCACCCTCCTCCTCCCACGGAACTGCTGCGGACCACGGGGAAAAGGTGGCGAGACCAGCATTTCCCCAAAACACCCTAAGCCCTAAAGTACCCTCACCCCAAAGACGCTGGGGTCACCCACAGTGCCAGGCCGAGATGCCATCACGGCACGTGGTGGGGATTGGGGCCAAGCCTTGGCCCCGTGGCCGGGATTTGCCCCACGGCCACGCACCACCCTCCAGCCCCGGTCTCCTCACGGCTTGGATCAGTCCCGGGGCTGAGGTTCACCTCCAGGCTGGGATTCACCCCACAGCTGGGGCTCAACCCAGGGCCGGAATTTACCCCATGGCCGGGGTTTACCCTACAGCTGGGGCTCACCCAGTGGCCGGGGTTTACCCCACAGCTGGGGCTCACCCACTGCCGGGGTTTACCCCAGGACAGGGATCTGCCCCACCACCTCACGGCCAGGGTTCACACCGGGGCCCGGCTTCACCCCACAACCGGGATTTGCCCCAGGGCCACGGCTCATCCCACGGCCGGGATCCGTCCCCCCGCGCCGGGAATCGGCCCCACGAGCACGGCTCTCCCCGCGGCCGCCCCCCGCGGCTCCGAGGCGAGCGCGGCATCCCCTCGGGCAGCTCCGGCTCCGGCCGCAGCGCGGCCGCGGCCTCCGGGGCTGCTCGGCGGTGCCGATCGCCATCTCCCCGCGGCGGGGGCTGCGCCCGCACCCCCCGCACCCGCGGCCCGGCCGCGCCGCTGCCGGCGGGGCCCGACATGGCGGCGGGGCCGCTCCCGCCCGCTCTCACCTGCATGCGGCGCGGCGGGGCGGCGGGGCCGGCGGCGGCGCGGCGGGGCGGGCGCACACGACATGCGGGCGGCGGCCCGCGGGCAGCGGGGACGGAGCCGCGGGGCCCGGGCGGCAGCGGCGGCGGCGAGGAGGAGGAAGGAGAGGAGGAGGAGCAGGAGCGGCGGCCGGGGCGCGCAGGGCGGAGGAGACGGGGGCGGGCGCGGGGAGGCGGCGGCGGGCGGTGCCGGGGCCGCGGCGGGGGGAGCGCGGGCACTCGCGGGGCCGTGTCAGCGATCACGGAGCGGCTCCGGCGGGGGACGAAGGAACCCGCCGCCCCCTTTATCCCCTCGTTTCCCCTCCTGTTCCGCCTCGGTTTCACAGCCGCGGTGGGAGAAGGAAGGGACGCCTGGGAATGCGGGGCGAACGGCGGGGATTTGAATGTGCGGGCATCTGCTCGGTGTCTGCCACCTCTGTTTCTCCTCCTCCAGGCAGTGGGGTTTATTGGGCGCCCAAGTGTCGGTGGCACGGATCCTCGTGGGCAGCCGGAGCAGGGAAGTTCAGGTAAAAAAAAAAATTAAAAAATTAACAAGCACCAGGGAGTGTTTGAGGAAGCAACAAGCGGTCGGGGGAGCACAGGGAGGGACAAGAGATCAGGCTCTGGGGCTTTTAATTGGAGTTTGCTTTCTGCTGCAGCTGCCCGAGGTGATGCTGGACCCAAGAAGTTCATTGTTGGCAGGAGAGCGGGAAGGGCCTCAGCGATGGATCAGGGGCTGTTGGTAGGAAACAGACTTTGGGGAGAGTGAGGTGTTTGTGATGGGTGAGCATTATCTGCGAGCCCGTGTATCTCCAGAAATCCGTGCTCCATCCGTGCTCCAGGCAAAGACCTGCTGGGTAAAAGGCCAGAGGCTCACAGGGGACTGAGGGACAGGGGACAATGCCTAGTACCTGTCCAAAATAATTTCATTTTACCCTTGGAGCCTTAAACAAACGGCTGTCACTCCTTAGCTGAGGTGTTTTAGCTGAGGAGTGTTCCTTTTCCTCCCGTCGCCCTCCTGCCTCCCCACGTCCATCCTTTCTGAGGACACTGAGCCAGGTGTTGGATTGGATGAACACAGTTTTGTTACAGTTTGTTTTACACAGCCACCCTTGTCTGGTTTAATAATCCTTGCACACAGATCCATTGGGGAGTTCTAGGCAGCCACATATCTCTGATGTAAAAACACTTGGACACACACTGATTGGGAAAGACTAGGAGATTTGAATGTTTTTAATCAAAAGCACATCAGTGTGAAATAGAAGCCCCCTGTAGCCAGTTTGTGGTGTGGATCTGAACATGCAAGTGAATGTTTGTAAGTGGATGCTGCTCCAGGACAGTGAATTAGGTGTCTCTTTTCCCACCCACCCCACAAGGGAGTAGGGGTGCGATGGCAGCCACAAAATCTCTTTTTGGAATTACACGTGGCTTGCAGCAGGCAATGTTCTCGCACACAGCCGTGGCTGAACAGGTGTCAACGCCCCCATGGCTGAGGGCCGCGGCTCTGACTGCCCTCAGGAGCCGCCGCCATGTTGCTTCAGGAAAGGGGGACCAGTTAGGCCTGCAGCGCTAAGAAACAACCCGGGTTCGCCCTGAGGCCCCTCTGAGGCCGCTGAAGAAGCGAGCTGGAGGCTTTTGACCAGCCCTGGCCAATGGTCGCCTCTCTCGGGGCAGCGGAACCTGCGCACCCGCGGAACGGTAGGCCCGGGCGCGGCGGGTTGGGGGGACGGCGCTAGGTGGCACACCGCTAAGGAGCCCGGGCCTGCGGGCTGCCGGAACGCTTCTTCTCGGCCCCGGGGAGCGAGTTCCGCAGGGAACGGTTCCGGTGGCGCACCAGGGCGGCTCGGCAAAATGGCGGCGCCCAGCGCCCGCTGCCTGTGGCGAGGTGAGGGGGCCGCGCTGAGGGAGCCGCGGGCGCTGCCCCGCTCTGCCGCGGCCCTGAGGGGCTGCAGGCGGCCTGTCCGGGCGGGTCGGGGGTGCGGGGGCCGCGGCGCGTGTCTGAGGCGGTGTTTGCTCTCTCCCCGCAGCGCTGGCCCCTCGGTGCAGCTGGGTCCTCCCCGGGCTGCAGCAGCGCCCCGCTGTCCCCGCCGCGGTGAGCCCCGCCACCGCCCGGCCCTACGCGGCCGCAGCAGCCAAGTGAGTGCGGGTCTGGCGTCCCGGGAGGTGTTGGGGGGTGTTTGGGGGGTTTGGTGTCCGCAGGGCTGGTCTGACAGCCAGCTGACCCTCAGAGGCTCCCGGAGAACAGCCTGCACTCGCAGGGAATGTTTTCTGTGCTGATGGCACAGGGAAAGCTTGAGGCTGTGGTGTTGGGCTGTGCTTTTGCGGGGTGTAGCAGGGTTGCATGTCAGAGTGAAAGCTGGTGAGCTTCTGGAGTCTGTTTGAAACCCTTCCCGTCTTTTAATTGGCTTTTCATTGTTTAATTTGCCGTCTCGGTAATAACAGCGTGGCTGGGAGAAGCAAGAGTAGACAGGAGAATGAAGTGTTCTCAAGTGCTGCAGACCCTTTACAGAGAGATGGAGGATCCAGTTATTATTTTAATATTGCTTCCCTTGCCTGGATACCCTCTGAAAATAGGGAGGAAAATGAGGATTGGGCGTTCAACTGAATGCAAAATGCCACGGGAGAGGGAGGAGAAAACCTTGCTTTATAAAATCAGAGTGCTGTGAAAATACGATAACTGATGACCTCACAACGTGCCTGGGGTTTTTTTTTTTGGTCTTAGAGCTGCCAAAAAAGATGCCAAGAGGAGCAGGCAGGAGAAGGCGAAGGAGGCGGCCAAGGAGAAGCCCCTCCCCCGGAGGCGGCCGCTGATGAGCAAGCCCGTGGACGACGTGTACCTGACGTGGCTCTACAGGAGACCCTCCTATGGGCTGGAGCAGGCCGTGGGCATGCTCAAGAGGTTCCAGGAGCTGGACTTCACCCACCCCAAGCAGTTTGTGTACATCAACGTCTTCCTGGACATGGCACTGCAGAAGAAGGTGGGGAGGCAGTTCTGGCACTCCTGAAGGCTTTGAGGCTGCTCAGACTGAGGGCAGTCCCTCACCTTGTTTGCATTTTCTTTTTTTCATTTTTAGGGGACCAACTCCCTGTGGTGATGTAATTTACACTCAAGTCCTAATTTCTGTTTGTTTGCTTTAATTTTTTGTTTTTATTCCTTTGCCAGAAAAAAGTGGATCCTTTTTCCAGTGGTGTCGCTCTCCCCCATCGCTTCACGGATGAGGTGAACAAGGTCTTGGTGTTCACAGAGGTGGGTGAGCCAAAATTCCTTCATTTTCATGGGGTTTTGGTGCTCACAGAAGTGGGTGAGCCAAAATTCCTTCATTTTCATGGGGTTTTGGTGCTCACAGAAGTGGGTGAGCCAAAATTCCTTCATTTTCATGGGGTTTTGGTGCTCACAGAAGTGGGTGAGCCAAAATTCCTTCATTTTCATGGGGTTTTGTGCTCACAGAGGTGGGTGAGCTGGAATTCCTTCATTTTCATGGGGTTTTGTGCTCATAGAAGTGGGTGAGCCAGAATTCCTTCATTTTCATGGGGTTTTGTGCTCATAGAAGTGGGTGAGCCAGAATTCCTTCATTTTCATGGGATTTTGGTGCTCACAGAGGTGGCTGAGCCAGAATTCCTTCATTTTCATGGGGTTTTGTGCTCACAGAGGTGGGTGAGCCAGAATTCTTTCATTTTCATGGAGTTTTGGGCTCACAGAAGTGTTTAAGCCAGGGTTCCTGTGTTTTAATGGGATTTTTGGTGTTCACAGAGGTGGGTGAGGCAGAATTCCTTCATTTCCATGGGTTTTGGTGTCCAGCACACTCTTGCAGCTGTCCCTTGCCAATGAATCATTTTATCTCTGTGGGATCATCCCAGAGGGGTGCCATGGGTTTATTTGGTGGTTCTTTGGACTGAATTGTTTGGAATTCTCTCCCTGAGCTCTGCTGGCAGCTAATTGGCAGTGCAGCTGTTTTTAATTCCTTTTTTCTCTCAACAGAATGAGCAGGAAGCTGAGGTAGCTCGAGAACACGGGGCTGCCATCGTGGGAGGAGTTGAATTAATCAAATGGGTGTGTATTTTTCTTAAAAGAATTACATAAAAATCCTAATTGAAATTGGAGCCTGGAGGGGAGGTGAGGAAGCCTGATGTCCAGTGAGCTCTGGCTGGGAGGCAGCAGGCACAGAGATGTGTTTCTGTGCTTGGACCCTTTTATAAACCAGCTTGTATGCAAGGAGTGGAATTGTGCTTGTTGCAGATCCTGGAGGATGAAATCCAGGCTGATTTCTACGTGGCTGTCCCTGCCATCATCCCCAAGTTAATCCCCCTGAGGAACAAGCTGAGAAAGAAGTACCCCAGCACCAAGAGAAGTAAGGAGCAGTTCTTGCTTGCAGCTTTTAGCAGTTCCTGAGGGGGCTGGAGCCCTGGGGGTGCCCCTGGAATGGTTTTTGTCAGCATGTGGGGTTACTTTGGGAGCTAGGTTGTGGCTGCATCACATGTCTTAGTCAAGGGAACTTTAGGGATCCATTTTTTCCTGCAACAGGCAAACCTGGGATAAGAACCCAGGTACATTTGGCTGCTAGGTGCCCTTATGCTTATTGATCCTGCTGAGAGGGGAAGGAGGGAACAGGGAGACTGTGATCTCAGTGGGGGCACCATTGTCCTCTCTGTGAAACTGTGTTTTGGACTGGTGTTTGCTTTAATTAACAGATTGAATGATCTCTTTCCTGGTGCCACACCCATCTGTGCCAATAAGCATTGCTCAGACAGCTTCTTTTGTTTTGTTTTTGAACAGATTCTCTGGGCAGTGACATTCCCAGAATGGTGCAGTTCTTCAGGGAATGTCACGAGTACTCGGTGGAGGACGAGAGTGTCATCAAGACAAGGATAGCCAGAGTAAGTTGTGTGCAGAGCTCTTACATTTTCTGCCCTGAGCAGAACTGTAGTATTCAAAGAGAGAAAAAAAACCATCTCTTCAACCTCTCTCTCAAAGTTTTTGACCACTTTTTCACTAACCTCTGGAGAAAATACAACTCTTTTTTTGTGTGGCA